ATCAGGATATGTCCTGAGTGAGGCTTTGCAATTGCCTTCACTCAAGTGGTGTCTCCCAAGCTCAGTTGGCCTGGTGAGGGTGTCCACTTCCATCAATATACTCAGTAATTCATATACTTCACTTTCCCCATTTTCTAAAGAGAAAGCCAATTGTGATGCTTGTATGAAGTCCAGTTGGGCTTCAGCTAGGAGGCAATTTTATATGGTTACATCATTAATCCCATTCTTGTCGCCACTGAAATAAATTCACAGAGGCTGGTATCCTGTCACCAAGTCATTTTTTATCTACACATGCATAGTGCTTGATCCTGGTCCAGCTTTCTCAGAGTAAGCAGAATCTCTGACACTCCTGTTTTTATCTGTCAGCCAGGTTTCCCTGGTTGGACCTGATTAACAGCCCCTCATATTTAATGAGGTCCACCTGGCTGACCCTGTTACAATCACTGCACTCCATCTGCCAGGGTGGCGTGGGGGAAGAGGCTGAAAGTTGAGGGAAAGCATGAAAGGCAGAGGCAGATCCATGAAACGTGGAACCATCGACAAAATCACCCACGTAGTACCGCATATGCTCAAGAGATATAGTTGCAAAACTGGTATGAATTACTAGTGCAACGAACATGATAAGCCCCTGGTTATACCTTCCAGCTTTGTGTATATCTGATAGAAATGAATCAGTTGTGACACCATTAGCCTCTTTGTGTCCTCGTCACAGCTCAAATTCCCACATAACTTCAGATTTTCACTGATGTTTGATACATTACTCTCTGTCATTTGCTTAAATTTTTTCATGGGTGTGGACATCACTGGATGGGCCAGCATTTACTGCCCATCCCTAATTGCCTTCCAAGGGGTAAGGTTGAGCTGCCTTCATAAACAACTGCAGTCCTTGGAGTGTAGGGACACTTACAGTGCTTTTGAAAGGAGGTTCCAGAATTTTCACTCAGTAACAGTGAAAAAACAGGATATAGTTCCAGGTCGGGATGGTGTGTGTCTTCGAGAGGAACGTGCTCATGGTGGTGTTCCCATTCAACTGCCCTTGTTCTATTAGTTTGTTGAGGTTGCAGATTTGGAAGGTGCTTTTAAAGGAATGTTACTGCAGTGCATCTTGTAGGGGCGTTGGTTTAGCTTGGTTGGCTGGATGGTTGGTTTGCAAGAGTGTGATGCCAACAGCGTGGTTCAATTCCTATGACTGGCTGAGGTTATCACAAAAGACTCTACTTCTCAATCTCTCCCCTCACCTGAGGTATGGTGACCCTCAGGTTAAATCACCATCAGTCATCTCTCTCTTTAATGAGAAAGCAGCACTATGCTCTGGTAAGACTATGGCAACTTGACTTGACTTGCACCTTGTAGATGTTAAATAGATCATAGATCATAGAATCCCTACAGTGTGGGAACAGGCCCTTTGACCCAACAAGTCCACACCGACCCTCAGAGCATCCAACCCAGACCCATCACCCCACAACCCACCTAATCCACACATCCCTGAACACTATGGGCAATTTAGCATGGCCAATCCACCAAGCCTGCACATCTTTGGACTGTTACTCTTTGTCAGTGGTGAATTGAGTTCATGTTGTAGGTGAATAATGGGGTGCTTTGTCCTGAATCGTGTTGCATTTTTTGAGTGCAAGTGGAAATTCTTCCATCACACTATTGAATTTTGTCTTGTTGATGGTGGACAGAAGGTATGAGTTAATCACCACAGAACTCCTAGCCCCTAGCATGCTCTTGCAGTCACAGTATCTATATACTTGGTTCAGTTCAGTTTCTGATCTGTGATAACCCCAAGACACTAATAGCGGAGGATTGAGCATTGGTAATTCCATTGAATGTGTGTCAATGAAATGCAGCTTTATTGTCAAGGGCAATCACTCTCACCTCAGGAATTCAGGTCTTTTGTCCATGTTTGGACCAATGATGTGATGAGGTCAGGAACTGAGTTTTTTTTAAATTCATTCACGGGATGTGGGTATCGCTGGATAGGTCAGCATTTATTGACCATCCTGAAATGGTCAGAGGGCAGTTAAGAGTTAACCACATTGCTGTGGGTTTGGAGTCACAGGTAGACCAGAACAGGTAAGGATGGCAGTTAGGGTCCCCAAAATACATTAGTGATCAAAATGGCTTTTTATGATAATCGATTGTGGCTTTGTGGTCATTAGACTCTGAATTCCACTTTTTATCTTAAATTCAAATTCCAGCATCTGCACGGTTTCAATTTGTGTCCCCGAACATTACCTTGATTTCTGAATTAATAGTCTCAGAATAATAGCACTAGGCCATTACCTTCCAGTGACCTTGCTGGAACCCAAATTAGGTGTCAGTGAGCAGGTTATTCCTTTGCAAGTACCGCTTGTAGCACTGTCAATGTCCCCTTTCATCACTTTGCTGCTGATTGACAGTTGACTCATAAGATGGTCATTGGTTGGGTTGGATTTGTTCTGTTTTCTGTGCACAGTGTGTAACTGGGCAGTTTTCCACATTGTTGGATCAATGTCAATGTTGTACCCATTAACAGTTTGGTAGAATTTTAGCTATTTACACTAATTCCATTAGTAACAGCCTGCCAACTTGAAAATGCTGTGGTGAGCTCCACTGTTTGTTTCCTGTCCATTAACTAATCCCGCTATCCATGTTAATAAATTACCCCAAACACCATAATTCCTCATCTTATACATTACCTCTGTTGGTCGCACTTCATTGATTGCCTTTTGCAAATCCAAATATCAGACTATATTAACCTTTCTATTCTGGAAAACTGTCATTTCTGGATTTCAGGTATTTCTGGATTATGGAATTATGTTGGAATATCAAACCACAAGTATGTGAATTGTAAAGCACCACAGATTAAAAAAAAACATAGTGGTAAATATTATAAATTGTTTTACTTATCCAAATGCTATATCATTTATATCTTCATATTTTTTCCTTATGTCATAAACAGTTGAGACAAGTGCATCTCATACCTCAAACAAAATATTCACTGATGCATCATTTTCTAGCCTTTTTTATGATTTACGTCTTTTCCAATTTTCTTAGTATAACTTATTGTATCTTATTTAAATGCCATGGTAAGAGTTTAAGAACCAAACCATACCCAGAAATGCTTTTGTCTGATCAAAAGCACTGTTGTAAAAAGGAGACAGCCTAATAAAGAGAAAAAGGTGGCGAGAGAGTTTGAATGAGAAATTAACAGAGATAGAAATGGCAAAATAGATCGATAGATAGACAGGAGAAAGAGAAAGAGAGACTTAACAGAGAGAGGCAGGGCAAAAAATCATATGGCTCTGCAGCCATATATTACATTTTCTCACACTATACATGCCCTGCATAAGGCAGGCTAATGCATTCCAATTTGTTGCAGTACTTGAACAATTGTCAAAGGATTTCTGGACAACTGATATTTCAAGACTTTGGACAGGAGAGGTATAGTGTCATTAGAGTCGCAGGAAATAAAACCTCTTGTCTAACAATTTCCATTTCGTAAATCATGTTGACTATGATTTTCTAAACCTTTTGTTGTAAGGCAAAGTAGATTTTGGAGTTTTCTTGTCAACTAATATCAGACTAGCTTGACTACAATTTCCATGTTTTCTCTCTCTCCTTTCAAAATCATGGAAACATAGATAATAGGAACAAGAGTAAGCCATTCAGCCCTTCATAGAGGCATAGAAAATAGGAGCTTATCCATTTTATGCCTAAAGACTTATGTTATATTTAGCTCCTACTATCAGTCAACAATCACATGATACCAGGTTACAGTCCAACAGGTTTATTTGAAATCACAAGCTTTCAGAGTGCTGCTTCATCAGGTGCAGAGAGAGGAGAGCACACAAACACAGAGTTTATAGGCAGAGAGATCAAAGGATCATACTACACTTACAAGGTGTCAGTGGAGTGAGCAAACCTAAATTGGCTGACTGACTGCCTCCTGTTGAATCTTTAATCATTCATACATTCCGGCATTCTAGAAATTGCATAAGCAGGATGTGGAGAAATCTGTTAGTTTCGAATAATTAAAATGCAAATTCTGTTTCAAGTCACTGCCCAAGATAATTAAAGGCTCCATCAGTGTCTGCCTAACTTTCCAAACTTTAAACAGGCATAGCGATAAGAATATACAATAGGTGACATCTCAGCTCAGACACTGAATTACATATGCTTGCGCACGCGCACACACACAAACCTATGGGGTGAATAATTTCATCCAAGATGTTTGCTTATTTTCAGATACATTCCATTTTGTTCAAAAACATTTGTAATCACAGTCACTCAGTGTGGCATTTTATAAGTTCCTGCCTTTGGAACAAAACCAGCCTGATTCCAGGTTAAAAGTCTTGAGTTAGACTCTGACAAGCCCTCACACCTACAATTCAGTGTCTGACCTGAGATGTCACCTTTTGTATATCTTATCGCTCTGTCTGTTTGAAGTTTGGGCAGTTAGGCAGACACTGATGAAACCTTTAAATATCTCAGGGCAGTGACTTGAAACAGATCTGGAATTTGCATCTTAATCAAAACTAACAGAGTTCTCCATATCCTACTTCTGCAATTTCTAGAATGCAGGAATGTATGAATGATTAAAGATTCAACAGGAGGCAGTCAACCATTTTAGGTTTGCTCACTACACTCACACCATTGCTATGATCCTTTGATCTCTCTGCCTTTAAACTCTTGGAGCATGCTGTGCTCTAAAAGCTTGTGATTTCAAATAAATCTATTGGACTATAACCTGGCGTCGTGTGATTTTTGACTTTATCCACCCCAGTCCAACACCAGCACCTCCAGGTCATCCTACTTTCAGGTAATAATCTTTCCCTTCCCACAATTCATTGTAGAGTGCATCTCACATTCCCAATACCAATTCAACTCCAATGCAAACTTATGGGGATCAATTAATTGTTCACCAATTAGGAAACCGCACAGAATCACGCACAAACGTTAAATCTTGTTCTCTGACGTCATGAATTTCGGACATCGAACACGCATGCGTAACGTAAACGCAATTACACACTCCCATGATATCACCTGCTGGGTGTGGCACAGCTCCAATACAGTAAATCTTGGGAGCGTTACCCGTCACCTTTTTGTCTTTTATTTTTAAAAACAGCAGCTTCAATTACTATGATGTCTTCCAAAAGATTGAATAGAATTGCACATGATGGAGAAACCTGACCTAGAACGTCTAAAACGCAGCAGCTTTCGCGCTCAGGCATTCATCTGCACTGGTGAAGTAGCGCATGCTCCGTACGAGAGGTCCAGCTGGAACCCTTGCCGTCATCTCCCAGCAGCCTTTGTGTAATGCCGCGCATGCGTACTGCTGGTTGGGAACGGCATTCTTCGACGAGGGAGTGTTAAAAGTTAAAAAGTGTCCTGGATGAAAGATTGATCAATGTTTCCGGCTCGGGGTCACAACACTGGTTAGTCAGTGATCCCGGGGCGCAATTTCTCTCCCTGGCTCAGTTATTGATGAGGTAGGCAAACCTTGCTCATTACCCGGACGACAAACAAGCCCGACTGATCAACCCGAGGGATCGCCCTCTCAGACCTCGTTCCAGCGGGGCGATCCTGGCGCGCCGACCGCCAGAGAGCCGACGTAACGGTGATCAGGGACCGTATAATGATAACTGTCTTTCTACTACCTGGCCCATCCTCTAAATCCTGGGTTGTGCTACGGTACCTCAGTTATTTGGCCTGACAGTTATTGATTGTTGTTTCTTTATCTGTCATTACATCCCACAACTTCACGTCTGCCTTTTCTAACATTATTTCGTTGAAGTGGAGAATCTTAGATTAGTCGTACAGCTGATTTTGAAGACGCGTAAGCAGATGCTAATTTTACCAAGTGCATCAGTTTTTTTAAGAGAAAATCTCCCTTTATATAATATCGTAATTGTGTTTGCTGTATACGAGTTAGTCAATAAATTGTGTGTACTGTCAGTGTGTTTTTGTAACCGTGAAAATGTTGGTTGCATCGTGCTTTTGTCGATTTTTACTAAGTCTTAATGATATGTTATCGATGTTTTCGATTTAATCGAGCTTTACGAAAAGTCGCATTTATTTAGTCTGCCCGAGGTTCTTCACTAGAGTATTTTACAGTAGGTTAGGTATAATACCTTGGAATTGTTGCAGATTCAAATTGTAAAGAAAAAGTAGGAATTTCGAGCCAAGACATTACCACCTCCCTCAATTGAAGTACGTGAGACTGAAATGTCAGTTTTGTACAAACTTGAAAGAACATGCGACAGTATAGAAAACAGTACATATACGGCTTGTATTTTTTTCTAAAATACAACAGTTTTGTCCATAGTTTCTCACTTTAAAATTGCAAGTTCACGTCTTATAACAAACGAACTATGCAGAGGATGCGATGGATGTAGTTCCAATCATCCTTTATTGTGGTACATAGTTCTTGTGGCTCATTGGCTGTGCTGACTGAACTGTTCATAAGTTTAACTATGCAACACTATTATATTAAATGAAGGAATAAGAACAGAATTGATCACTTTCAAAATGGTTATTAAAATAGATCTGCATGCCCTTGTCCAATCATTCACCATTCTTTGTGCTCTTACACTGCAAGTATTTTGTTCAGTCAACTTTTGGATTACTTAAACTTTCTCTATAGCAACAAAAGAGTTGTGTTTGTATGACTTTTTAATGTAGAAAAAACATGTCAAGACAAGTAAACAAGTGGATGTTGTGTCAAAGGAAAAGTTGTTTGGAGGGACCAAAAACAGAAGTTCTGAAGAAAGGCCATTGGACCCAAAACGTTAACTTTGTTTTCTCTCCATAGATGCTGCCAGACCTCCTGAGTTTTTCTAGCAGTTTTTGTTTTCATTTCAGATTTCCAGCATCTGCAAATCTTTGGTTTTTCAGTTTAGTTGTTTGGAGGGCTTGCTTAAAAACTTGAACTAAGGGACGGGATTTATGAGGGAATGGTGAAAGGAGGGAATTCCAGCTGAGGCCTGTATGGACGGTAACAATTACCAATGCTGGGCGATGAAGTAGTGGAGGGACAAATGGCAGAGTCTGAAAATTGCGGGTTTTGGTATGGGTTTGTAGATTTGAGCAAGGTTATAGGGTTGAAGAGGCTGTGAAGGAATGGAAGATGTTGACAAGCTTTATTGCAGTCATTTGAGGATTATCTTCTATTAGCAAGTGGAAAATGAAACGTGAATTGGCGAGATTATTCGGATATGAATGTCGATTGGGAATTTGCCCTATCTTTTACCATTGTACAAATTTTTAACTTGGTTGATGTGGGAAATATCCCAGCTATCAATGTTTCCATATACATAGGTATGCTGACTATTGATTTTGGTTGGATGCTTTTTGCAAGTTTACCTTGTGATTTGTATACTTTATTTCTTTTTATGGCCATATTTTACACTTTTTTGTGTCAAGACATGAACCTGTATTTGCATCCTACATGTTTATACCTTCACTCATCTTTGATCAGTGATTCCAAAATGTGAATTGTCCAAATAACATGTTAATGATTGAAGACTTCAAGAACTGGTGTTGCTGTGCATCTAATTATTATGGTTAGGGTTCTTACTGTAAGAATATTGGAAATTACAGCACAGAAGATGTCATTTGAATACTGATGCCTTTATGCTGTCTCAGATTGGTGCTATCATCTGTAACGTCCTTTCCCTGTCTTTTTTACATTCCGTTTTTCAGGTTAGTTGTCAAATTCTCTTTTTAACGAAATGATATCTGCTGCACTGCGTGCTCTGATAAAACGTCAGTTTAACTCCCTGAAAATATTCATGTTCAATTTCTCTTTCCTCCTGATAACGGTTTTTTCACATGTAAATTTGTTTACTCTTCGACCACTAAGCAAATTAGTATAATGATATTATCTATACAAATATCTTAGGGATTTGAATGCAGCGTGGCAAGGTGGTGGATGTGAGAAACCATGTCACAGATGAAAGATCACAAGTTACTTTTTGGGGGAGCGATTTATTGAAGCTGGAGGAAGTCATAGAAAGAGGAAGGCTGAAGCTGTGAAAGGAATTAAATATAGTAACGAGAGTTGATATCGATACCAGTTCTCAGTGCTTTTGTAGTTTACTAAGAATAAGGTTTTTGAGGGATTGAGCATTGATATGCATAGTCAACTTTGAATGAGCTAACCATTTTCGAGGATGTAGTCAGCCAGTCAAGTTTTGGGAGGGTAAAGATATATGGCCGATGGTTTTACACCGGATAGATTGAGGAGGTGAGTTTTTTATTCTTTTGGATGTAGTTATATTTTGCAATGGCGAGAATATGAACATGGGATGCAAGTTAATGATCAAATGGGGCTTTGAAGTTTTTAACAGACTTGTTCAACCTGAAATAATAACTGTGAATGGGGTTAGAAGAATGGCAAATGTACAGAGTTTTGGTACGTGCTTGAGACTAGGACTGTGAGCTTCTACTCATGCAATAGTAGAGATTTTTTTTTAACTGGCATTGACAACACAAGTCTAGGCAAATGGTGGAGAATTGGAGATTATTGTTGTTGTTGAAATTTCCTTTAATGCCTTTGGATGGTGTGCCTGAAGAAGGGCCCAAGAATGGATCCTTGTAGACTCCAGGGTCGTAATGCAAGGGTACACAATGAAGACGTTGTCTGGGGATGCTTTGGTTCCAATTAGCTAGGTATGAATGATTTCTTGAAGGCTGCTCCTAGCGGTTGGACAACGGTGCAGAGATATTGGATGAGCATGGTGACCTGTGCATTCACCTGTAGGAAGGGTAAGAAAGGTGGGAAAGACACCCTGATCATATTCATGGATGTTTCAATGATCACTTGGATTCAAGCCTCACTTCTATGGCTGAAACCTGGTTCGAACACTTGGTAATGATGGACAGCCATTTGGGGGTGGTAAGAAATTCAAGGTCTTGTAGAGAATATAAGAAATTGGATCAGGATTATCTCAGGTTGAATCAGCCTGTTGAAAGCATCAAACCCCTTTTGATCATGAACTTGCAGCTCATGTTTATATTCTGGCCATTGCAAAATGTAATTATGTCCAAGAGGGTAACAATACTTGCATCCTCAGCCCATCCGGAGTAAGACCATCATCTGAACCTCTATCTTCCTAAAACGTGACTGGTTGACTCCACCCTCCAAAATGGTTAGCTCATTCAAAGTTGACAACACACGTCAATGCTGAAATCTCAAGATCCAGCAATTTGCCTCCTCAAGCCAGCCCTTCCATTCAATAATATCGTGGCTAATCTCATTTGGCAACACTCCACATTTCTGCCTGCCCACCATAATCCTTCACTCCCCTGTAGAAATGTCTTTGAGTATATTTATTGACCCAGGTTGTACTACTTCTGGAATCGGGAATTCCGAAGATAATGAGCTGTTTTGATAAAAGAAAATCTTTCACATATCTGTTTTAAATGGCAGACTCCTCAACGTGAATCTGTGCCCCCCAGTTGGAGACCAATCCACGAGGGTAACCTTCTCTCAGCAACTATGATATCAAGTCCTCTTAGAATTTTATCTTTCAATATGATCAAGTTGCAGGCACAACACTTGGAGAAAAAAAATTACCTTCTCTGTCTTAAAAGGGCAACACCTAATTTTAAAACTGTGCTCCCTAGTTTTAGTCTTGCCACTCAAGATTTTTCGTGTCCACCTTCTGTTGACTGTTCAGGATCTTTTAAATATATTTTAGATACATATTTCAGATATGTTACAAGCATCCTGGGTAGCACAGTGGTTAGCACTGTTTGCTCTCAGCGCCAGGGACCTGGGTTCAATTCCAGCCTTGGGTTACTGTCTGTGTGGAGTTGGCATGTTCTGAACGAGTTTTCTCCCACAGTCCAAAGATGTACAGATTAGGTGGATTGGTCATGCTAAATTGCCCCATACTGCCCAGAGATGTGCAGACAAGATGGATTAGCCACGATAAATGCAGGGTTAAGGAGATAGGGTGAGGAGGTGGGTCTGGCTGTTAGGAGGGTTGCTGCAGACACAATGGGCCAATGGCCCCTTTCTGCACTGTAGGGATTGTATGCTTCTAGTCTATAATTCACGTATGGGGCAGGTGGGACTTGAACCCTTTTCTCCTGATCCAAAGGTATCAATTTTACCACTGCATCACAAACCCTGTTCAGTGTCTTGTATACTTAAATCAAGCCACATCATGGTCTTCTGAACTACAGTAAAAACAAGCCTGTTAGTCCAATATTTGTTCAGACTGGATAATATTCCAGTAGCTGCCTTAATTATTTGCTGTATCCATATACTAATGTTTTGTGACTCCTGCAAAGGAACACCTCTGGCTCTTGAAATTTTGCAGTCATTCAGCTTTAAATAATACTCTGCTTTTTCATTCTTCTTGCCTAAATGAATAATTTCAAATATTCCCATGTTAGGCTTCATCTGTCAGATTTTAGTCCATTTGCTCAACCTATGTTGACTTCTCTGCAACCTCCTTATGTCCTCTTGACAACATACCTT